CAGACTTTACTTTTCTGCCTTCAAGTCATGCATGGTTTGGTCCTACCTATCTTTTGGATCTCACCCTGCACACTTTCCCAACATCTTCTTCCTATTGTCCCTACTCCAACTGCATTGAACTTTCTTGTAGAATTTTGTATTCACTAGGATCTCTTCTCCCAAAAGAATTCAGTTACTCTCTTTTCTCCATCTCAAATATTCTTTCTTACTCCACTTTATCTTATGAATTTATATTCATCCTTTTGATAGTACAAGCCTCCTTAGGAAACCTCTGACCTTGCTCACAAGGTCAAGTCCAACTTTTTATACCACCAATTATTTTCCTTCCAAGTATTTATTACAATTACAACTTGACATTTATTTGTATGATGACTTGATTAATCTGTCTTTTCTACTACAATGCAAATTCCATGAGGGCAGGGCCTGTGCTTTGTTTGGCTTACCACCATATTCTCAGAGCATGACTTGATTCATTTTAATACATTGGGCAATAACTAAGCAAATAAATAATGCAATATATAAGCAGCTAGTAAGGATGTTGTACAGGAAATTCCAAAATGCAAATTTGTGAAGCTACTCCATCTGAAAATGGCTTGTTGCAATGTTTTTATTCCTCCATTCAATTCAGGACAGTCAGGACATAGGAAGTGAGAGCTCTAATCCTGGATCATTCATTGATCCCAGAAGTCACACACCCCACCTACTTGCTATTTTTGTATTTGGAGGCTCTGGTCTTGGATGTTGTTTTTAAATTATTTTCTGAATAGTCTCATAGCCTCACATTTAGCCTAAACATTTTTGCCTAATATTCTTTTTTATCATCAGTGTAGACTTATAGATATGAACATTCCCAAAGAAAGATCATAATTTATTGGGTGACTATACCTTGGAAAAAGGGAAATTTACAGACTTTTAGGGGATATTTGGAATCCAGATCTGAGTTTTCTGGAATTCCTGAGGGTACTGATAACCACTGTAGTTATTTTGGTGGGGGCACGGGCTTACTGTGGCCAACTGAAAAAGGTGGTCTAATTTAAGGTCACCATTAAGATCCCAAATTTACCATATACTCACTTGCCCACTACAAGGGTGTTTAGTTGGGATAGAAATCCTCAGCATGTGGCAAAATCCCCATCTTTTTTGACCCATAAAGTAAGGACTATTAAGTTAGTAGTGACCACTGGGAAATTATTTTAACTCTTTCTTCCCATCAAAATATTAAGTCAGAGACAAGACCATTTTTTCAGAAGGAACTGCAGAGATTAAGCAATTATCAACAATTTGTGGAATGCTGGCCAATTTTTATCCCATGCAATTCCTTAATATGATCAGTGCAAAAACCAATGCTAACTCCAACTGCATTTCCCAATCGTCACAGCGGCCTCCGCTCAGAGAAGAGGAGGAGAAGGTTTTGTAGCTGGTCTAGTCTGCAACAAAAGTGGCCCCATGAGGTAGTCGGATAACCACATTGATCCAATAGTGTCCAACACATGAAGCAGACCACCATGGTATGAGGAAAGCCTTGAAAGTAGTGTTATCACAGTGGGGGCTCAGGGTTTTGGAGCTAATTCATGTCACCAAGAGCAGGTAACTATCTCTTTTGAGTAACAGCTCCCAGCTTGCTTCCAAAACCAAATATATGATTATGGAAACAGGTAATTATGCAGCCTGGACCATCCTTCATAAACGAGGTATCATCAGATCCATAATCCATAAAACCAGGTCTACCTTAAAGCACTTCAAGAAGTAGTGTCTAAAAGAACAGATTAAATCTTGCCACAAGGATACAAACATTGAACCTCTTCCAAGCGACAGAGGATGCCAACTATACAGGAGGCAATCGAGTATTTTCTGAAATAAATTTCACCAGACATTAAGCTTCATTAATAATATTTATTTTAAAGGTAACTTTTTATTGTAACAAATATAAAGTCATCAATGTTTTACAAATTGTCAAAAATGCTTTAAGTACAAAAAGAATACATTAGTAAAATGAAAGTTATATTGTGTTATTTGGTACATACTTAATACTGTCGACATGCACACCATATGCCAGAAAAGCTCATGCATTACTGGGAAAGAGAAGAGAGAAGATAGAACTGCTATGTTGTCTGATTACAAATTCATTGCTTCAGTTAGTTTTCTTTCTTCAGGGATACCATTTACCTGCAAAGTGTAAGAATGAGCATAGGCACGAGTTAGTCAGGGCATGGACACTTTTAGATTCCAAGCAAAACATATTATGAGTAGGAGTAATTTTCTATCTTCTTAACATAATCTAAAATAATTATGTTGCATTATATCTCTGCCATAGGTTTTTCTTTTCTTTTTTCTTTTCAAAAAAAGGAAAAATTCTAAATTAATCCTTTCTTTCTTGGGCCCAAACTATAATGGTCTGTACTTCTCAAAAGGTATGGTCTGAAAATTCCTCCCACAATAAACAAAAAGAATGAGGTTGACTGCGGGATGTATGACTGTACCTTTTAATCGTGACTTTTTAGAAAATATTGTGTGGGTTGGAAGGGCAAAGAAAATGAGAAAACCTAAAGGGGCATCAAACCTAATGGCTTGGGCCTCCTCCAAAAGGCAATGCTATTGTCAGCTTGTAACTGCTCTATTATCCCAGCTAGTGCTTAAGTCCAGGATTACAACACCGGCAGCTAGTTCATTTCTGAAACTTTTGGTGATCACTTAAAAAAAAAAAAAAAAAAAAAAAAAAAAGAAGCACACACACAACTAAATAAAACAAACTTCAAAATATACTCTTCCCTAACAAATTCCATGTAAGAAGCTACAGATAAAATTACCCAGTATCCAAGAGACAAACAAACCCTGTGCTTAAATTATAAAGAAAACTATGACCTCACTTCATGCTTTGAGATACTTGGAAATGGCAGATTATTACTACACAATAATAATCACAAATGTGGCTGCCTCTTTGTGGTACCAGGATAAGCAGGAAGGAGTGACAGAAAAGCTGTTGAACCCATGAAAGTACATAAATAGCACTAAATCCATGGATGTACATACAGAGCAGAATAACTCAGAAATTGAGAAACAAACTATTTTTTCATTCAAATGAACAGAATGGGAATAAGGAATGTAAGCTGCCCATTTAGCTCCTCTCTCTGGGAGGCATAACTCTATTTGATCATGCATTTAGCAGAGGCGGAAACACAACCATCCATCATAATTATAAAAAAATGCTAGGGTGGTCTCTCTCCCTTTAGCACTTAGATACTTTGGGGACTCACTGAAAACAGCAATGACAAGAAGAAAACAACCAAGAGGAGATAGTGCACTTTAGTCAATAATGTGCTCCAAATTACAGAAAAATATAAGAAAACAAGAAGGTAATAGGCTAGAGTATTAACTAAAAAAGAGATCAAAGCTTCCTTGACTCAAACAAAATGCATGCTCCCCAAAATCTATTTTAGAAAAAAATCTAGAAAATTGGGTTGAACAGCCTAAAATTCCCCTAGGGAAATTCTTTGGCTTTTATCCAATTTGCTCAGACACAAATTGTCCCTGTAGTTGGAAATACTGCCTGTTACTAAAATATAGCATACTAACAAGACTACTTGCTAAAAATCTATACAACTATCAAATATCTCTCTCTAATATCATCTACTTAGGTTTCCTTATTTTCTCTAATGGAGGAATAAGTAAAATTTACCTGGGTTTTTAAAATATACAGATAAATTATTTACTGTTCTACTAGAAACAGTCTCCCTTCTACTCACTCCCTGCATTAAATAATGAAGAATCAGAGGAAAGACATCTTAGAGGAGTTAGAAGTTTAAGAATTTAATGAGGAAAATGTAGAAACAGTCCCTTACAAGTTTTTTTCTTAAAAAAAAAAAAAGGCCATGCAATTAGTGTTAATAGGGATTCATTTTTTGCTTTGCTCTTTAGGTAACGCATATTTATAACCAACTTTGTTCCTTCATCAATCTCCTGAATGCTTACACAGTAGCACCACCACATCAATATATTGAACATCTTTGTTGAAACATGTTAGCATTTAATTAAAACAAGTGGTCAAAATGGTGGGAGAAAATTCTGATAAACATTACCTCGTAATTAAAATCTGATGAACAACTTTATTATACTTGCCTCAAATCTTTGAAAAGTTGTCAAACGAAAATCTCCTTAAATTCCCGAAAGCAGTAATAGAGAAAATAATTTTTGAAGAAAAACATCCAATAAATTTCTATACGTGCCTAAAGTTTTTAAGAGACTTACTTAATAGCTTCCCTACCATAATAACACTATGCATACTGAGAATTCCACATCCAACTTACATTTTTAAAACTTCTCTTGCTTCTCCAAAAGAGCTACAAAAGGCATGACTGGTTGCCTGGCAATTAGAACTAGGAATCAACCACTAATTAGAAGACAATCATGAATAAGTTATCTACTCAGTGCTGAGATGAATGAAATAATTGGCTGTGGAAATTTTTAGGGACACTTGAAAGAAATAAACTTAAAGAAAGCAAGTCTTAGGGAAATAGAATAGTCAAGGGAGAATCGTCTGCCATCTTGTTGTCACTGGTCATGTTATAACAGCTTTTTAAAGTGGCATTAAAACCAGGCCAACCATTTCTCATTTATCCCCCTGAAGCCTCAATGATTAGTCACAATGGTTTCCTTTTGTAAGAGTCAGTTTCAAGCTGCTCACTTACTGAGACAAATCCTGGATGCATCCAAGCTAAGAATCTTTCATACCAAGGGGAAGAATAGGGAGCTTCACTGAAGGAAGGGGATTTTATTCAGTCTTCCTTAATTAGACAGGACCTCCATGGATGCTTTTGCTCTAAGATCATTTACCCAGTGTTTATCACTCTGATGCCAATCTATGCAATAATCTCAGCTATTATTCTGAGGTTCAAACTCTGTTTTGCCTTACTTGGTGAAGCTAAAGCTTCATAAATTATATAGTACTATAATTCTCTTTTAATCTGTTAGCCTCATACATAAACATCATGACATTATTACTTTTAGTACTTACCTGTAGTCTGCTGTTGGGGAATCTGAGTCTGATGTGGCAAGTTCCTAGAAATGATTGACATTTTTGAGTAAAACTGTGTTTGTCTATACACTTGTAAACAGACAGCAGACATACTAGAATGAAAAACTTTATAGTTAAAAAGGGCCCCAGAAATCATCTAACCAAGCACACCCTTATGAGTTTATGGATGAGGAACCTGAGGTCTGAGGAAAATAAATAATAATATTTGGTAACATTCATAAAGTTCCTACTAAATGCTACATTCTACCTCACAACAACCCTAGGAGGTGGGTATTATTTTCTCCAACTTAGAGACGAGGAAACAGGCTTTAGAAGTCCAAGGCTACAGAGCTAAGAAGTGGTGGATAAAGATGTGAACACAGGGATTCCAGGCTTGTGCTTGTAACCTGTACACTTTCAGATCCAGGTCTAGAACATACATACACACTCACACAGAACAACATACATATCCATCTTCATTCACTGTGCCAAATCTGTGCTCTTGTATCTCTGTCCCAGGGAATGACACTGGCCATCCACCCAACTGCACTAGTTAAGATGTAGAAGTCATCATCAACCCTTCCTTCTCCTTCAGTCCCCACATCCCAATCTTGGGAACCCTTGATGATTCTCCTCAATCTCCTTTGAATCTGTCCTCTTCTTCCCCACCTGTGTTGCTAATCTGGTTGAAGCCATCACCATTTCTCACTTGATCTTTACAACTGAGCTGAACTGTCTCCTTAGTCTTATTCTTGCTCCCTCATAATCCACTGTGCACATTCTAAGACACAAATCTGGTTACGTCATTCAAACAACACACATTTCATGATTTCCTTACACCTACATGCAAATTAAGTTTCAAGTTCCTTAGTGTGGCCCAAAAGACCATCAATATATCTTGTCCCTACATGGAGCAGCCCCTGACTGCTTGAAATAGAACCGCCATCACACCATGGCCATTCCCATCTCTTGTACCCAACAAACTCCCAATTGTCCTTGCAAACTCAACTTAAAATTTGTTACAATGGAAACGAATTACTCTTATAATTTAAAAATATCCCACAAGGAATGCTAATTAAAATTTTTTAACTTATTATTTTTTTAATTAAAAAATATCTCAAGTACCACTTCTTCTATGCCTCCTTACTCTCTAAGCATTCCCTTCCCATTACCACTGAGCATGGATTTACACACATGCTGCATTGTCATTGTGTTTCTCATCACATAATGTTTATTTGCCCCAAAGTGCCTTAACAGTAAGAATCCCTTATTTTGTTTAGCATCCTCAACAGTAAGCATGAGATAAATAATTTTTTAATGGGTATGGGCAAAAGTGAAGACACCCAGAAAGATTCACATCATACACGTGTTCATTAACGTTCATACATACTTAGTTTCAAACAATGATATTCAAATTTGTTTGCAAAAATGTACAATTTAGATTCTGTGTGGAAGAGATTCTAGGAGTCGGCCCCTTACTAGGAGTAGGGCTTGATCCATGCCAGGGGTTTTCAGAGTTTTTTTGTTTCTCTTCAGCAATAGAATTCCTTTTAATTGAAATCCTAAGCAGAACTCTTGACGTACAAAAGAGATAAATGTGAGGTTGCCTGGGTTGAAACAAGGGAGCCAGGAATCCCGCCTGCTTTGTTTCCTTTGCCCCACATGCTGGCCCCTAAGGCATTTCTAAGAAACCTCCAAGAAACAGAGTTTGAAAACCATTGATCTGAATCATTTCAGCCAGGCAAATATTATGTTCCAAATACAACAATCTAAAGTGGAAAGCTGTATATGCTAGTTAAATACTGTTTAAACTCTTAAATTAATCTATAGAAATGTTAATGACTTCAAGTAATTTCTTTTTTAATTTTCAGTTCCATTTTAAATATATTGTTAACAAAATCAATTCTAATTCAATTCAAAGAAGCTACTTAATAATTCATCCCAATAATTATATTCTTTTTTTTTTTTTTTTTTTTTTTTTTTTTTTTTTTTTTTTTTTTTTTTTTTTGCTATTACCTATCAGCCCTACTTATCCTTGTGTGGTCTCCGGGAATATTTTGTTTGTTTATTCTTTTAGTATTTCACATGATATATTTATAGTGGTCTTCATCTCTAAAGTATCAAAAGATTAATCTATAAATCACAGAAAAAATAAGTTATAGATTTAAAGATGGAAAACAAACATCTGCAATTTCATGGGCATTTGGGAGGGGGATAGAAATTTTGTTTTAACTTCTCAGGAACAACTAATTTGGGCTTACCTATTCTACAATAGAAGCTATTACACCATACCTTACACACACACACACACACACACACACACACACTTCTTCATTTCTCACCACCTCTAGCTCTACCAAGCTTATTAATGGATTAAATCAATACATTTTGACAAAACAAAAATACTGCAGAGGACAAGAAAAGCCTTTCAAAATCCCTAAATCAAGGATACTCCCAATTCAAAATCAGTATTTGGCTGAAGCAGTTGGAACCCCCTTGCTCCTAATGGCCAGTAGGAGTCATCCTACTGGCCTGGCTCCAATTTACCCTTCTGTGGAACACAGTTTGAAAACCACTGATCAAAGTCAATCTCCACCCTGTTGTTTCTTCTCTAGCCTCTGATTCTTTTCCTCTTTGTCTATACTGCTAAACTTTCTAAGTACTAATGGGCTTGGCTAGATTTGAGGAGAAACGGTTGAGAAAGTGCCACACAGAAGGTAGATCTATGAGAAAACGGTTGTGCTACTTTGGTTTAGAGATTTAACATTACCTGTGGCGCATGCCCCACTTGGTTAAGTGTGAACAACGGACATGCACTACTTGCAACTTCAACTGAAACACAGATGAGTTACATAAAAGTGCTTATATGTGCAAAAAGGTGCTCAACAAGAAATCAGTGAAGATACAACCTGCCCAGAATCTCCAAGGTTGTGCACACCTGGCTCTGCTTTTGTGGGTGCCCAAACCTGTGATTGCATGTGAGCCTGTGAGTGTCAGGGTGTTAACATATCCAGGGTGGGCATACTTGAAGTGTGAATTACATTGAAGAGTTGAAAGGAGGTCCCTCCTAAGAGCATTGCTTCAGGTATACAGGAGAAATGCTGGAGTAACTCAGCTAAGTCAAGCAGACCAGGCATCGAGAAAACGGAAGCATTCCATCTTTGGTGAAAGCAGACTGCTAAAGGCAATTATACAGGAAAGTGTGGTTGACTTCAAATAGAAGCCCAATCATCCTTCAAAGAAGGACCTCTGTAAAGTCATAAAACTATTTAGAATAATTACGTTATTAATGGACCAACTGAAAGATTATTATGTGTAAACTGCATTACATAGAAAAAAGATTTAAGAAAACTGTATTTCTCTAAATTATTAGCATTAATTATTTTCTAATGTTGCTACCATTAATTACATGCATTTAAATAGAAAATTATGTAAATTAGCCATTGCACAAACTTTATTCTTTAAGGAAGCAAAGGTAATAACTTGCTAATTAATAAATAAGTGATTGAGGGGAGTACACAATTATTTATTATTTGTACAACCATTTTAAGGTAATCTGACATTCTTGGATATCCTGTAGAGTAATTATATGAGTAAGGTTGATGATTATCAACCCATTATATTCCTACTTGCTTGAAGACTCAAAAGCAAAGAAAGGTTAAGTGATTTTCATTAAGCCACAGAATCTGTGCCAGAATTGAAAATAAATGACATTAGTTTGGCTATGTAGAATACAAAATACTTCTCTTTTGAATTAGTATGGAGCTATTTAGCAGTAAGTAACATATTTAATAATAGTAATATATTTTTGGAATTTCCCAATTATTTCAGCAAAATTGATGTTGCTCAACCCTTGAATTTTCTATAATTTTTTTAACAAAAATGCTGATTTGGACCCCTCACCTGCTTTTACTAAGGAACCAGGCCATTTAGATGGATTAAGGAAGAAAGGAAGGACACAGAGAAACGTCACTATAATTTTTAATTTCAAAACCTAATTTTAAATAAATCAATGTAGAATATATATGGAACATAAATGAGAAAGGAGAAATTCACTTATTTCTTTTAGTTAGTTTCCCTTGCTTGTACAAAGCCAAAAGCAAGCCTACCAAGCCCACCACAGCTTTAAACTGAAGCAGTACAAACCTACAGAACCAAAATTCATCACAGATATGGCATCCATTGCTGAATTAAAACAAAAAAAAGTCAATGGCTCTGAAATATCCCTGGCTGCTTGACACTTCTTGTCAACAGGAAACCATTATCTTGGTACCCTAATACATTCTCTTCAACTGATACTAACTTTCATTGAAACCTAATTTTTTATTCATGAAATTTTACCATCACTACCTCTCATTATTACCAAAGGGAAGACAAACAGAAAAATACTTTAGATAAAAATTAAAATGATTAGTTACTATATCTCTCATTAGAAGACTGAATTCTAGATTTCTATTCATTAATCTATAGAAGATTAAGCACTACCTACCTCCTGTTTTGAGGGAGACCCGATTACTCTGGATTAGGCATTGTGTTTAGTATAATGAATAAGGAAAATTTCGTATAGACAATTAAAACCTTTCTAGAAAATGTCTGGATACTTTTCCCTATTATTCATTACATAAAATCTTCTATGAGGATGCCTCCCACTCAGGAAAAGTCCATTGATATTGTGTTGGGATGAGAAAAGGATTAATAAGGAGGCAGATCTACCCCCTAGAAAAACATGTACTACATTATACATTTTAGAATAAATCCTTTTTTAGAAAACTGAATGTCTGAAATTCCCCAGCAAATGCCTCCTATAAAATTGCAAAATGACAATTTCCCAGTGGTTTTTAGTTTTTCAAGGTTCAGCATTTCTCTGTCCCAGTCAGTACTCATTTCTCACTTCTCTACACCATTTCCTCAGGCAGCAGAAGGAGGTGTGAAAAGGATAGCAGCTGATAAACAGACACCCACAAACAGTCCCAACACTATATCAGGCACCTGAACTGCCCCCTTTCACATTTTTCTTTTGTACATCACCTCTTAGTGGGGAATCAGGAGAAACTGCTCCCCTTTTAAAACTCTAGGAGAAGGACTAGGAATAATAGCCCCTTTCCCACCTCCACCCCCAAACACCACCCCAAGCTGGTGTTCCCAAATTCTAAAGCCTAGCCCTTTTAAGTATTTTAATTGGGAATTGTCAATGCTTTTTCCTCCTCCACCTAACTTACAGCTCCACCAGATTCCAAATCCACAGAAGTAGGGACCTGGGATCTGCATTGCAAAAGCTCCACAGGTTAATATGATCTGCAATGTGGCTGGGAAACAACCAGGCTGGACTATCTCTCAACATCCCTTCTAGGACCTAAAATTCTATGACTTGGAATTTGATTTTCCTCATTTAAATCATTACAAAGGTTTGTTTTTGAGGTACATCAATCTGTAATATATTTTTATTCTTAATATATTAAGTCTTTGGTCAAAAACATACCCCTTAATCACAACGATTCTGTGGGCAAAGCAACATTTACTTTTAAGAATTACTTTATAGGGGCATCTAGGTGGCTCAGTCAGTTGAGTGTCTGACTCTTGATTTCAAATCAGGTCATGATCACAGGGCCATGGGATCAAGCCCTGCATCAGGTTCCACACTGACCATGGAGCTTGCTTAAGATTCTCTCTCCCTCTGCCTTTCTACCCTGCTCTCTCTAATAAAAAAAAATTAAAATTAAAATTAAAAATAAAGAACTACTTTATAATGCAATCTCCAGCAATGAATGGTAATAAGTAAGTAAGGGGACAGCCTGCAGAGAGAAAAGTTTTTCTTACTATTAATGGTAACATGTATTCACTCCACTGCAAAGATAAATACAGATGCAGAAAGCCTGACTGTATTAGGGGATGAGGAACATTCTTCAGAATATGTGGCTAGTGTTCTTCAAGACCATCAAGGTCATGGGAAAAGAGGAAGGTCTAAAAAACTGCTCTGATCAGAGGAGACTAAAGAGACATGCCAATTATTGTGTCCTCAACAGAATCCTGGAACAGAAGGACATTAAAGGAAAAACCAGTGAAATCTCAAATTATTAAAAAAAAAAATCTGAAGTCTGCTTAATAGTCAATGTTGGTTTCTTACTTGTGACAAATATACAATGGGAGAAACTGGGTGAGGGGTCTCTGGAAACTATATTGTCTTTGCACCTTTTCTGAACCTCGAAAATCATTCCAAAATAAAACATTAATTAATAAATATATTAGCAAAGACAAAACTAAACTGCCCTGGCATTTCCATACCATGTGATCATTTTAACAGCCTGTTTATATTGTCTCTGTAACCTGAAATGTAGAAGGAACGCTGTGCAAAATGAAATCGTCCTTCTTGAGCATGTACTCCATCTTCTGGTCCCTATCCAGGTCTCCTTTCCACTACCTGTTCAATCACTTTGCCTGTTATCTGGATCAGAGATCCCTCTGAGGTCAATGACTACATTATCTTTGCCTTAAAATCAAGATAGGTAAATAATCTAATTTCAGTTTTGACCTAATTCAGTGTTGTCTCTTATCCATGTTCCAATTTCATCAATTGCAAATGATTAAACATTTTTTTACTAATGAACGGTGCCAGTCTAGAGTCCTGCAGAGCACTGTTCCAAGAAGAAAATATTACTGTGTTACTGACATGTTACTGGGACAGCCCCTCATCATACAACTGTTAGGAGTTCTCTTTACCTCACACTGTTATAAGGTTCTCTAGATCCTGGACTGACTTGTTTAAGAGACCCAAGCAAATTTCCATGCAGCTCTGAAGAAAAGCTTGGAATGTTCTCAAGTCTTGCTCAGAAGCCAACATAAACTTTCAGCCATTTCCTTATGCCTGAATATTTCCGGTGTCAAGCCTGACGAATCAACATGAAATCCTGTCGCTAGCCAAATTATTTATGAATGATAAAATCAGTAAAGTTAGTATGAATATGTGAAGATGAAACACATGCCCTTTTAGGAAGGGTTAATTAATAAATACCAGGGAGCATTATCCAAGCTTTGGACTTGGTTATCAAGTACTGTAATACCTCATCTAATGTAATATCTCATTTTAATGTTGAGAATTCAGTTCAATCCAAATGACCAAACTATTTATGTATATATGTACTTGGTGCTGAAATAAAACTTGAAAAACATGCTTTTTAAGGTAAGGAGTAAAAGCTGAATTTGCGTAAAGGACAGCTGTGACGAACCTGATACAATGAATTCCCTATTATCTGGCATGGTTGGAAAATGAGGTTAATCACATATTCTGGCTTATAGGCAGTTACCATAGAGACAGTGCACATATTATCCATTTCCAAGAATAAAAGAAAGATAATATACACTCAACACTGAAACTACACCAAATGTAATTTAATTTTCCTCTGATGAGTCAGACGTACTTGATGATCTCGCAGTGCCTCAGAATAATCATTGTGAACATCATCAATTATCTATGTACCCTATTTATATAGAAGTGCTAGTTAATGGAGTTTTTCCATTAGCAGAAATCTGAATAATGTGAAAGTTTTCTGGACTTAACAATACGTATATGGCCAAATTGTCGCAAGTTCAAGAAAATAACCTATTGCGTTTGCAAATAGATCGGATCAACATAATGATAGTCAATGGGGTTATGGAAGGACTGGGAAGATGTATTTGGTTGTAAACTAGACAGAAAATTTTATTGTTTTTGTATATTAGTAGCAACATTGCAAAATCCTAACCACAGAAAATCAAAATAATTTTTAAGGAGCTATTCTTAGTCTCAATATATATGGTCAGAAAGTGTCTCTAACAAATGACACAGCCTTTTTCTTTCCCTTAAACTTCACTAGCAATAGTTTTGCTGACTTGCAAACATATTTAAGTTCCCCTACTCATTATAACAAATATTTCTCTTTTAAAATGTGATAGCATTGTTATTTTTATCACTAGGAACATGTGGTCTTTGAAGAGTTATGTCTGACCTTTTTTCATGGATTCATAAAGCATATCAATATACTCAAGGCCTCTGAAAAATCTTATAGTTTTAAAACAAACAAACAAACAAACAAACAAACAAAAGGACTGTTTCTCAAGTATATTTGACCATTTCATTTTTTTGAGATTATATATCAACATTTGAAGAATATATCCCCAGATTTCACTGGCACTCTTAGGTAAAGAAAACACAAAATGGTAGCCTTAAAGACTTTTAAAAATTCTTTCCATTTGGAAATGAGTGTTAAGTCTGTTCATAATCTTCACCTAAAAAAAGCAAGAATGATTGCTTAAATTGTGAGCTATTATAATACTCTTGAAATTATACTCATTTTTCCCATCAGTATCTAATCCTGGTAAAGTGGGTTTTAGGATGACCCATGAACCAACCATCAGAGAACGTAGAAATCTATCCCTTCCATTCAGTACAACTAAATTTTGTGAGACTTTAATATTCACATCCCTGACAGAATATTAATATTTCCAAAACTCAAAAATTTTAAATGTATGCAAGTTTCTCCATTGTCTATCAGACTTGAATCAATTACTGTACACACACACATGCACACATAAACACATACCTTAGCCTATTCACCACTAAGTAGATCATGTTAGAGCAGTTCAGGAAAATACAATACTTTTAGATTTCTGAAGTATTTTGGACAAATTCATCAAATCTAACTATCTAAATTACTCTTATTAATTACCGTTTAATTTTCAAATTACCACATACATTTTACATGATTACAAAAAAAGCACTTGCAATGGGAAACTGGACCCAGTATGGTTCCCAGAGAAATCTTTAATCAGTATTACCTGTTGATCATACACTAAGGTTTATGTGGGGAGAGGGAGGTAGATTTTTCTCTATATCCATCATATTATATTCACAAAAGTAAAGTGAAAAAGAGGAGGATCTCAAAAGCAAACTTGTGACTTCCTTGGGAAACTGAATTTACAGGGGAACCCCATGTTGTTAAATATAAATTACAATTTTACCTACAATCCCCTTATATCAAAATTGATCTTCTAGGCATATAAGGTGGGTTCTCAAAGAGCAACTGGGAAATTTCCTTAATTAACCCCTTGTCCCCAAAGGTACCCTTTACAAAGGTTTCTTCCAGGCTTTCTAATCATAGTCCTTCCAGTACTACAAAGCTTGGCACTAATAAATTATGCTTATAGTCAAAATTGGAACTACTCATTTTTATATACAAGCATATCATAAGAAACAACGTAAAAACCTTTTATACCCTGAGGCAAAAAAAATTAGATTAAATAGATCTCTGGTAATAACATTAAAAAACGGGTTAACAGGGTGACTGTGTGGCTCAGTTAAGCATCCGACTCTTGATTTCGGCTCAGGTCACTATCTCACGTTTGTGAGTTTGAGCCCCACGTTGGCACTGACAGCATGGAACTTGCTTGAGATTCTCTCTCTCCCTCTCTCTTGCCCCTCCCCTGCTTGCACTCTCTCTCTCCAAAAATAAATAAATAAACTTAAAAAAATAGGTTAACAGAACCCAATAATTCTAATAATAGCTCTAAAAAATGATTTGTTATGTTTTAGGATATGCTTCTCTTTTCACAATTAACTCATCTTTGAGCAAACATGATTGGTCTGTTAGCAGTGTCAGTTTCTTAACTATTAAGGTGGATGTCATCTTCTTTCAATTAGTGAAGAAGAAAAGTGCATTTCCTGAAAGTAATTCTTTATATTTGGATCAGCTATATATTATATATATATATATTATACTATATACTATATATTATAGTGGGGTCAGGATCTATACCATCAATGTCCTATTGGTATTTTCTCTTAGAGTTACAAACAAACAAACAAATGCAAAGCGAAAAGCTCTGGTCTTTGTAGAAATTAAGTAGATATATTCATGCATACTAATAATTATACTACCAAGCGGATACTTACTGCTGTGTTTGCATCAGAGGCATATTGGTGCTCTCATAACTGTCCGTGTGCAGAGGGGGTATGATTTCCCCAGTCACAGGGTGGAACACAGGGAGTGTTGACAGGGGCCATGCTATCTCTCTATTCTTGGACATGTCACGAAGTTCTTTGGTAGATTTCTGAATAGCACTATGATGGACCAGCTGGATGCTAGATCAAAAAGAAATAAAACAACATCTGTTTAAAATCACATATTAGCCCAATGGGTCTTCAAATTTGAAAAACGTTGCGAATTTTTTTCGTCTTTTTAAAACAAGGCATTATTGCACTTTTGGGCATTCTACAAGTTATCTCTGAAAGAGGTACATTTCACATACTTTTAACACAGCAACGCAGAAAGTTGCAAATCAATTTTTAAATAAATGTGTCTTTCATTAAACTAAGCTATAAAGCATTTTGTTAATATCACAGCCCTAAGTAACAAGCTAGTGCTCTATTTAATTTCTACGATTAAGATTAGACTACCATAGCTTTTATATTGTTGCTTCTGATGGGGCATTTATAAATACTCACAGAAGTTTCATTTTATGGTAGGTTATTACTGTAGATTCAGGAAAACGTGTATGAAGGGCCTTTTCATCTGTTATCTGGTTTATAGAAATGCAGGTTGGGAAATCACATAATATAAATGGCAAGTTAATATTCTGAATCTGAAATTTTAGGTTTAATTTTTACTTATGTCGTCTTAGTTTTCAAACCCTTTTTATTTTTTAGTTTCTACCCCTCCTAAATATCTCTATTTAGAAAGCAGCTTTCACATTCATGAAATAAACCATGAACGATGACAAATGAAAAAATAAAAGCATGACACACATGTATGGAGCATGATGAGCAACTGAGAAGTGAAAGAAATGACAAAGAAAATAACAGGAAAGAAGACACTTACTCTGGTGTTTGCATGTTTCTCTTTTCCCTAGAAACAAAACAAAATTTATGAATTAAATAATAGCATTGATATTTGGAACATTAAGACTATATGTTCATGGGATCTTGCATGATGTGGAAATGCTGACATTGTTACTATTAAATGCAACCAGGAAGCATTTGCCACCAGGTTGATGACATTACTTAGATGAGTACACATACAGAGATGGAATACTGATGAGAAACACACAGAAAAATGAAAAAAAAATGGAGATTAAGAATCAAGCTCTTGGAAATAAATTCTATGACATAATGAAATCAGGCTACATGTAAAAAATGGAAGAATTTGTTACTTGCTGCTTCATTAATTTTTTATCCTTTGCTTTGTTACCCTGATGTCTAGATAATCTCAGGAGATTCTTTTAATTGACATAGATGTCCTGAAAGTGCTAACTGTTCATGAAGTGAACACTCATTACTCAAATTATACTCTTATTTTCATTAATTTACTCCTAGGTTTATATGTATAGATACATATTTTCTTAAACATTTAGATTGTGCCACCCATTTGACAGCAGAATAATTTCAAGAAGAATTCTGACCATCACTTCCGATCAAACTAAGACTATTTATTTAAAGTGCAATCACCATATCAGTAGATCCCACAGTCTCTGCACAAAATGGCTTATATAACCAAAAGAAGTAGCCTCAATTATTCTTGGGACTGTTTTGCCAGCATGAATTTACATCTAGCCTTAATAATTGTTGAATAAAGTCATTATATCCCCTAATTTGATTTACTAGACTCAAGCTATTTTAATTCATTTTAAAGGAATACTGTAGTTTGACTTGAACACAATCTCAATTAATTTATAAAGTGTTTTATGAACCAAATGAAACTTGGCTTTTAATGGAATCTTATGTGTTGTTAACCTAGTAGGCTCTATAATTTTTTATTAGTGCTTTAAAGTACTCACACTCCTTCCCGTCGGCAGCACATGATATAAGCAAGTATTAGAAAAAGGACCAGTGCTACTGCCGAGGGCACAGCCAGTGTAATTAGGAAATCCGTGTAATAGTCTCTGCTTTTCAAAGAATCAGAAGGGGGTTTGTACTCTCCACCATCAGGTAAAATCCCCTCTCCTCGAATCACCTCCTGATAGGTGGACACTTGCTTTGTTTTATCAACCTGATATAAAAGAAGACAATTACACATCAAATTAATAGCTACAAACATGACAAGAGTTGAAGATCTAGACATATCAAAACATTCTTTGACACATTTCTCAAAAGCAATTTCTTCCAATTCCTTTATCATCTTGAACTTGCAGTTGTTTATGGCAGCTAGGAAGAAGTAATGAGCAAAAATAATTAAGGGTTGGGGCGCCTGGGTGGCTCAGTCAGTTAAGCCTTTGACTTTAGCTCAGGTCATGAGGTCACAGTTAGCGAATTCAACCCCCATGTCGGGCTCCGAGCTGACAGCTCAGAGCCTGGAGTCTGCCTCAGATTCTGTGTCTCCCGCTCTCTCTGCCCCTCCCCCACTCACACGGTCTCTCTCAAAAATCATCATTTAAAAAAAGGAACAAAGGGTTTATGTTGGCCTAGTTTTTATGTCCTTTCCACAACATATAGACATATGTACGGGAATCCATAAGTAATAAAGCTATGTGTGTATGCAGATGTTCTTTCCTAGTTTCCCTCCCCCAAAACAAAGTATGTTCCCACTACTGTGTACATTTCTTGTCTCCTAGTGACAAACCTCTAGTGCAGATGCCAACAAACCATGAACTAGCTGATAACAGGGGTGTGTGTGTGGTTTCTAAGGTTAATGAAAGAGAAAAGACAAAATGAGAGACAATTTCTAAGTGACTACAATCTTGATCTTTCTTTCTGCCATCTAGCAGACAGAAGTAACTTTTAGGAAAGACAGCCGAAGGCACATGTCACTCATTTAATGCTACAGTTTTACTACATTCTATCCCAGAATCAAAAAATGCACATTTGCACTATATTAATTTACCTCCACATTAACTGAACTGCTTTCACGGAGTTGCATTTAATTGTTACAGGACTCTAAAAATAGTCATGTGAACTTGGTCATTACATTTGCTCCCCTCGCCCTTCCCCCTCCCCCAAAAATGCTGGGGAGAATGATTTGTGGCTTTTCTCAGCATCCTCTCAAAACAAAACACTTGAACGACTTTGTGAAGAACACAGTGCTAGAAAAACTTTTTTTTTTTTGCCAAAGAATTGATGGTCTGCCTCCTTTAAGAAGGAGTGAACTAAGTAACTGATGAATTTCCTCTTTCAATCTCCAATGTAGGAAGCTTGTTGTCAAACTTGACCTTAAGCTTATTTTTTTTAATAAAGTTCAGGTCCTGATCTTCCATTTCTTTGATATCTTATTTATTATATTTATTGTTGCATTATTTCATTTAAGCCTCCCGAAATCTTCTGGGATGAGATGTGACATATAAATAAATGCATGTAGAATAAAAAATGAAAATCCCAATATTGCCATATATAAAGTCTTACCACAGAAACTAAAATCTTCAAAGCCTAAGTCATCTTTAAACCTTTAGAAATTAGATAATATTCCTAAGCAGAAACCATTTACAGCAGGACCACAAGTAAAATGGCACTGCTGGGGCCTGCCATCCACGGACTTTGATTATAGGTACCCCCTCAAGTTATGATTGCGGCCTCTTCGTCTCTGGCACCCTTGCTCTGCAAATTCAACATTTACCTATAATGCACGTAAACCACAGAATCTTCATAATTTTACTTGACTTAAAAAGATAAAGAAAGAAACTTATTTTCCTCAGACACAGCCACATACAAAGAGGAGTCTAGGGCCAAGGGCCACAGGTGCTAAGTGCTACAATGTGAATACTATGTTCTCCCTTACTGGATCCGGGCAAGTTGCCTGCAGTCGGTTCTCTAAGACATGAAGTGACAGTTGTGTTTATGTGTCAATAACTTTGTTCAAATGTCAACTTTAAACTTAGATCGACTTCACTCACCACCAATCATCAAGAGTTGACAGAAGTTAAATCTAAAGGTCACTAAAGAAGTAAAACAACTTACCTATCTTCCAGAAAGCAAGATAAAAAAAATACAAGTTTTATATAAAATATTATACATATCAAGTGTAGAGGAAACCTTACCTTCTTTAGTCTTTTAGAATGCTAATTAAAAGGTAATTTAAAAAGAGATATTTAATATTTGTGGGGCTGTGGGTAAGATTCTAATTTTGCACACTTGGAATTATTTCTTATTCCTTGAACTCTCCCTACAATTTGAATTTCTAGGACACTGACTCATAGCACAATATTGGTTTATTTTCAGATTTATTATTGTGCTATAGTCTCTCCTTCCAAAGTGGGTAGTGGCAGCATATTTGAGACTTTCTTCATATGTCACACAGACTTCATATTTATTCTGACTTAGCAGCCACCTGGATGTCCAGGGGGATCATTGGGACCACCTGCCAAGCTAATGTAGCCCCAACTAATCAATGGCAGACTGAGGACAAAAGTGGAGATACTCTTCCCTAAATGGATACACTGTCAACAAGCTTGCCAAATCCTTAAAGTGGAGGGAAGTCAATTGTGTTAACAAAGTAAACCTAGGATTTGTTCCCAAAAGCCATTCAGGTTTCAGTCAAATGTTATCTCCAGGCACATCACTTATAATTACATTTGCAAAAATGAAATAAAATAAAAACTCACCAATGAAATTTTGCACCAGTCAATGTAAAATTGGGTACGAAACTTTTTATCACATGTTATCACAGGCTCCATTTCTTGACTGCATCTCAATTGATTCTGTGGATTTTCAACTTCTCGTAAACAAGAAGAAAATGGTACATCGGCACCAACCATGACATAAACGCTGCAAAAATGTGAAACTCTCAGGTTATCTTTTGAGAAAATTGGAAACACTGAAAAACAATCTACGCTGAAAGCAGGATTTATCCTTTTGAATTGAGGGATTATCTAGAATCATCCCTAAGGTAGGGGTCTGGGCTTTAAAAACAGTGATTCATGTAGGGGCTGCCTTCCATTCTTTCCTTTATTCAACCAATATTTACTGAGTGCCTTGGTGTTCCAGATACTTTCTTGATTCTGTGTTAATTTCTAAAAAAAAAAAATTTTTTTCATCCTATTTAATTCCAAGTAAGCATGTGTCTGTCACCTTATGATTACTGTTTGATAGATTATTTACATTTAAAAATTATTCTTAAATTATTTAGAAATAACACTATTGCTAAAATAATAAATAATTGTTAGTAATAAATCTCACTTGATTTCATTTTAATAAGACTCTGACACTACATCTCTGGAGGTGTGGACATGTAGCTATTCTACCCAAGAGTTCTGTCAGCTTTCCTACTGCATAGCCCCCTACTGTTAAGTTTCTTATTATACTCTTTTATCCAAGAAGCCAATCTAAGAGAAAGCTATGATTTGATAAGCACAAATTCAGCAAGCAAACTTTATTTTCTTGGTGCATATCTTAGCAATTAGGGGGAAAAACTCTACTTAATTGGTCAATAAGAGTTTCACACACACACACACACACACAAAGAGAGACACACACAAAGAGAGACACAGAGAGAGAGAGAGGATAGTGTTAAGAGCATTTAAATAATCTTGAAGCTGCTTGAGAAAAGGGCATCTCATAGGTCTTTCAAAAGAAGAGAGAAAACCAGGAAATTACTCTAAATAAATACTTCCTTTTCTAATGATAATGCTGTAGCTACTTATAAAATGAAATAAACCCATCAAAATTCCAGCCCTTTGCAGAAATTGACAAGCTAACCCTAAAATTTATACTGGAAATTCAAGGAGCCTTAATAAATAAATAAAAAATTCTTAAAAGAAAATAACAAAGTTGGAAGACTCACAATTACCAATTTTAAAATTTACTACAAACCAACAGTAATCAAAACAATCAGCAATAGTAATCTAGCATAAGGACAGACATGTAGATCAATGGAATAAAATTCAGAGTTCCAGAATAAACTCTTACATTTAGTAAACTGATTTTTGTCACAAGTGCCAAGATAATTCAATGGAGGAAAGAATAGTCTTCATAGCAAATGGTACTGGTACAACAGGGTATCCACATACAAAAGAATAAAGTTGGACCCTTTCCTCATATGATATAAAAAATAAACTCAGGGGCGCCTGGGTGGCACAGTCGGTTAAGCGTCCGACTTCAGCCAGGTCACGATCTCGCGGTCCGTGAGTTCGAGCCCCGTGTCAGGCTCTGGGCTGATGGCTCAGAGCCTGGAGCCTGTTTCCGATTCTGTGTCTCCCTCTCTCTCTGCCCCTCGCCCGTTCATGCTCTGTCTCTCTCTGTCCCAAAAATAAATAAATGTTGAAAAAAATAAAAAATAAAAAAAAAATAAACTCAAAACAGATCAGAGACTTAAATGTTAGAGCTAAAACTATTAAACTCTGAGAAGAAAAAGTCATACATTTTTTTTTTTTTAATTTTTTTTTTT